AGCTGTGGGTGCAGAAGTAGCAGAAGCCAAACTCAGAGGAGGGTGTTTTGTGAGGTTATAACGGCTGGGGGCTTTCAAGGCACGCCTGTACTCACCCCTGAAGGCAGAGAAGAGAGGTCTCAAAAGGGGAGGAGAAGTTCTCGCCAAGGGCATGGAGGAGGTGTGGAATCACAGCTGGATAGCCTCCCAGAGAGAAGACACAGCTCGACCTGCCTGCTGCAGGCACTGGCCACACCACCAACTCCTTCCTGACCCAGGAACGTCTTGTTGAAGACAGTGGCATTGATCTTCACATCTAGCAATCTAACCTAGCCCCTCAGCTACCCACTTAGTGTGCTCTAGATCTCTTAGATCATCAAAACTTAACTTTCCTGTGTCCCTGTCCCCATTCAGGGATAATCTGATAAACCAGTCTGAGCTGTTAATGACTGATAGTAGATGTCATTGTCTTGTTAGACATTTGCACTCTAGCAGGGATTTTTTAAAAAATGGGCCATGTGGGAATCTTGGGATCCACAGGAAGCTGCCAGAGGAGTACTGAGGCACAAGGACCTTTCCTGCTGTCTCCTCACCACACCTCCCAGATCTGTATGCCTCAGAAGTCCATTATGTCCTGCCCCAAAGGCAAAAGACCACTGCCGCCCCTGCCAGGGTCCTCCTTCCCTTCTCCTTCACCCATCTCATCAGACTCTGAGAAGAGTCACTCTAATCCAGGGTTTCTCAACTTGGGCTCTACTGACATTTAGAGGTGGATAATTCTCTGTTGTGGAGGGTCTGTCCTGTGCATTGTACTATGTTTAGCAGTATCCCTGGCTCCTACCCTCTAGATACCAGTAGCTTCCCCCCACCAATCATGACAATCAAAACTGTCTCCAGGGCCGAACCCGTGGCTCACTCGGTAGAGTGCAGCNGTGCACTCACTGGCTGAGTGCGGTGCGGGCGACACCAAGCCAAGGGTTGTGATCCCCTTACTGGTCCAAAAAAAAAAAAAACTGTCTCCGAACATTGCCAAATGTCCCCAGTGGGCGGGGGGGTTGAGAACCACTCCTGGTTGAGAACCAGTGCTCTGAGCCTACAAATTCTAACAGGCATCCTATAGGAAGAGCTAGCAAACTATTAAATGGGTATAATCCACTACCTTAAATGTCCACCAACGGGGTGTGGTGAAGCATAGATGTATCCATCAGAAAGACCATTTGAAAGACAAATGGTCATTTGACAAAGACAAATTTGTCATTTTCTAAATGACAAATTTTTGACTTTGTGCAAACATCCCTACACAAAAACAACTCTGAGGGGAAAAATGTCCAATATGAAGATAGCCGCAAAATTTAAAAAAAAAACCTTCATAACTTAAAATCACATTTAAAAGGCAGATTACAAAATTCGTATGCACAGTGATTACAACTCTGTAAACCTTATACATCCATTAAAAAAAGGATTGATGTTAGGTGTTTATCTAACTGGGGGAGACAACAGGATTATGGCTAAATCATTTCTTTTACTTAAAGTTTTGTTAATATGTGGGTAATTAACATAAAGCAGAGAAAATGTATGCATCATGATGATTTCTAACAGTTTCAATCAGACGCAATTACTCTAAAATATTCTATTTGTTTATTTGACCATTTTAACAAGCAAAGGAGAGGGAGAACTTCTGTTTACTCCCTTGGTCTTCAGTCTGGGGAAACAATCCCCGCAGAGAAGGGACCAGCCCTTCATGCATCTCCTCAGTTCCCGGGAGTGGTACTGGGGTAGGGCAGCTGCTGGGTAGACATTGGTTGACCTGAGCTTACCTCAGAGTTCAGCGTGGAGGTTTGAGGGTTGCCACTTGGAGTATAGTGGGTTTCTGTGTAGGTTGGAGCAAAAAGATGCCTGCAAAAAATAAAAACAGACTTATACGTCTTTGGTTGGTGAATGCCATCCTCCTGGTAACAACAGCCAGTGATTTTAATTCAACCAGGCAGGACCCCCCCAAGCAACTTTATGCAGAAGAAACTGGACAGCCATAAGGAAGAAGTTTGTTATTAATTTTATGTTCATTGGGATAGTCACTCCAGCCAGATGGAGTTGACAGAATGAAAGCAATGAACTTAACTTTTCTTCTGGGTCCTGGGAAAATACACATACAAACACATACACAAGATTTCCCAGGGTCTATGGACCCTGTTGGAGACTTTAATTGATTGTGCCAGCATTGCATCCACCAAATTTTAAAATCAGCACAGAACTTTTTCTTTAAGAAAATAACCTCTTCCCTGTTCATGTTATGGTGAGATTGTCAATGAAGGTGTCCTCCCTGACCTTGGCCAAGAGGTTGCCCATGTTTCAAGCTAAGCCAATGGAGAGATGTTGCAAGGTCTGTATAGATGGAAGTAATATGTCTGCTCCTGCTACATGGGTTCCCAGGGCTGCCTTTGCCTGTCCTTTCTGAAAC